GCATGCCGCTAAGTTGAAACTTAGAAAAATCATAACTTCCTCATACAAAGTCAGATTTGGACGTTCTTTTTATGCACTCTTATGGTTTAACGAACTCTATGACTTTCATTTAGATTGCTAAGGCTAAATATCACTCTAACGTAAATTCACTTTTTACGTCATTCAGCGTCGTGCCGGTTCTGTCGCAAAACTTCTACATGTCATAACTTCTTCGTTATAACTCGGATTTCGGCGTTCTTTATATGCACGGAAACCTTGTAACATATACTATAACTTAGTTAAGATTATTCATTCTAAATAATCTTTCATAAAAAATTCATTTTTGACGCCTATCGTCTCTAAATTGACTAACATGGATCTACGGGCATTACAGGAAGTTCTCATGCTTTGGTCCCTTTGAAACATTTCACAACATTTCATATTTATAGAAGAGGAAATGTTCTATTGGTTACTCTCACAATCGATGTTGGATTAAAACATTATAATAAAACACGCTTTCTTGTTTATAAAACATTATTTAACTTATTTAATAAAACATCATTTCTCTTGTTTACCCTTTCTTTATTGTTCAATAGTTTCATTTTCTATGATCTCGTAAGTTGCTATCCAAAAAAGTAAGTTTTCATAGAATAATTTTTTGTTATATTCTAAAATCATAGATTTGGTTAGGTACTTAACATAGAAAATTTGTTTTTATGTATTTTCATGATTCAAAAGTTCAATATAAAATGAATTCATTTATAAAATATAATTTGGGTATACATTTTATGATTTTCAATCAAATCGAGTTTTCAAACAATTATAATTTTATGTTTATGTAGATGTTTTTTTTATTTATATAACATTATGTAACTTATTTATAATATCATTAAAAACAACTTGAAAATTTATGAGAGTTTTAAATGTGTGTTGTGAAAGAAAAATGTTTTATTTATCGGTTCGTATTGATCAAACTCGAACCGTTTCAACAAAATATACCAAACTACATAACTTTATTTTTCTAGTGAAACCCAATTTATATATATTTCTTGTTTATTGGCCAATAGTTCCATTTTTCTATAATCACGTAAGTTTCTATCCAAAAAGTAAGTTTTTATTGAATAACTTTTTGTTAAATTCTAAAATCATAAATTTAGTCAGGTATCGAATATAAAAAGTTTATTTATATGTATTTTCATGATTCAAAAGTTCATTATAAAATGAATTCATTTAAAAATATAATATGAGTATGTATTTCGTGATTTTGAATCAAATCGAGTTTTCAAACAATTATAATTTTATGTTTAGGTAAATGTTTTTTTTACATTTATATAGCATTATGTAACATATTTATAATATCGTTGGAAACAATTTGAAAAATCATGAGAGTTACAAATGTATGTGGTGAAAGGAAAATGTTTCATTTATCGGTCCAAATTGATCCAGCTCCAATTCAACTCAATATCCCCAACTACATAAAAAAATTTCTACTGAAACACGATTTGAACCTGAAAAAATCCGATTCAAAACCATTTTTGGAATTCTAAAACTTAATTGGACACTTGCCAATATAGACAATCTCACCAAAGAATACCCTTAAAATCTTACAAAGGTAGGTATGAAGAAATTCTCATGGGTTTGGTCAATTTGAAACATTCCACAACTTTTTCTATTTATAGAAGATGAAAATTTCGCATGTTTACTCTCACCATCGATGTTGGATGAAGACATTATAATAAAACATTTTTTTTGGTTATAGAACATTATTTAACTTATTTATAATATGATTGTAAAGAAATTGAAAAGTTATGATAGTTTCGAATGAGAACCATAATTAATAAGGAACCAATCATGAACGTCGGAAAATCATAATGATCAACGGTCAAGGAAATAGATGTACACGTTCACATTGGACGCACACATACTGGATTATACCAAAAAATCCACCTTCTTACCAAAAAACTCACATATTTTTTTCATTTAAAGTATTTTTGGCCACATTTTTTATCAAAAAAAAAAAAAAAAAAAAACGAATACACCGTTGTTCTTGATTTTTCATCCACTTTCCATTGGGATCTATGTTGGTATATAAAGAAATAAACTTTATTTTCCAAAAAACAACTCACTTCATTTTGTTAGTTTTTTCAATATTTAAGTTTATTTGTATCAAATAGTAATAATAATAATAATAATTATATCAAAAATATTAATTTTTTGTACTCTATTAATAAATATCAACACCGATTAAAAAAAAAAAACCTCGAATAGTATAGATTCACACTGTGAATCTAAACTGTAAATATTTCAATTTTTAACATTCACAATATGAAAAAGCTTGAACAGTTCAGATTCACATTGTCAATCTGACTTACAATTATGCACACTGTGAATCTAAGAAGGTTTAAAAAAAAAAACATCGATTGGTGTAGATTCACACTGTGAATCTGACTTACTGTTATGCACATTGTGAATCTGAGAAGGTTCACAATGTGAATCTGAAAAGGTTTACAATATGAATCTGAACAGGTTCACAATATGAATTTGAACTGAAATATCGTTTTTTACATGAATATGAATCTATGTTTAAAAAGTACAAAAAGCATGAATTTTGATATATTTATTAATTTTTTTTCTATAAAAAAATAGACTTTAACTTTTCAACAAAGAAAATTAAGTGGATTTTTTTCGAAAAAATAAAAGTTTGTTTTTTATATATCATCATGGATCTCTTTGTAAAGAGGACGAAAAATCATGAACAACGGTATACTCGGTTTTTTTTTTTTTTTTTTTTTTTTTTTTTTTTTTTGATAAAAAACATAGCCTAAAAAAAATTTAACGAAAAAAAAAAATGAATTTTGTTATAATCTGGTACATATGCGTATATTGTAAAAGTCTACAACCATTCATTTTGCCGTTGATCGCTTTAAATTTCGACATTTTGGATTGGTTCATTGGTTTTTTGATTAATAGTATTGAACTTTTATATATATATATATATATATATATATATATATATATATATATATATATATATATATATATATATATATATATATATATATATATATATATATTAGTAATACTATTTTGACCATGAAAAATAATTTACCAAGTTTTTGGAAAATAAAGAGGATTATTTTTAAAATACTTCTAACAAAATATCATCACCCATGCATTTGTTTTTTTATTAGAATATGTTATCTTTTTAAGACTATTACAAGTTCTTCCAACTTTAAAACATGACAGCTTTGAGAAGCTAAGGTTGCGTTTAGTTACGGAAAAACAATTTTCATTTTCCGTTTTTTGTTTTCCCTTTTCGATTTTCGTTTTCCGTTTTCATTTTTCATTGAAAAATTTAGAAAACGCGTTTAGTTAAACTTATTCATTTTACATTTTCAGTTTTAGAAAATTAGAAAACGTGTTTAAATGTGTATTTTTCTATCGGTTTTCATTTTTAAAAAACGGTAGCGGTGGTAGGGTGTGGGTGGGGGCGATAGCAGTGATGACAGGCGATGGTGGTGGCGGCGACAATTGTGTCAGTGGTGGTGATGGTGGTGGCAGCGGTGGTGGTGGTGCTAGTGACAGGTTAGTGGTGGTGGTGGTGGTGATGGTAGGTCGGTGATTGTCGTGGTGGTGTTGGGTGGGTGGGGTGCGAGTATGTGTTTGTGGGGGTAGGTGTAGGTTTGTGTGTGTGTGTCTGTGAGGGTGGGTGTGGGGGTAGGTGTGGGTGTGTATGTGGGTGGGTGGGTATGTATGTGTGTATGGATGTGTGTGTGTGTGTGTTTGTGGGTTGGTGTGTGTGGGTGGGTATGTATGTGTATGTGTATGGGTTGGTGTGTGTGTGTGTGCGGGTGGGTGTGTATGTGTGTGTGGGTATGTATGTGTGTGTTTGTGGGTGTGTGTGTGGGTGGGTGGGTATGTTGGTGTGTGTGTGTGTGTGCGCACGGGTATGTATGTATATGTGTGTGTGTTTGTGGGTGAGTGTGTGTGTGGGTGAGTATGTATGTGTGTGTGTGAGTGGGTATGTATGTGTGTGTGTTTGTGGGTTGGTGTGTGTGTGTGTGTGTGCGGGTGTGTGTGTGTGGGTGGGTATGTATGTGTGTGGGTGAGGGTATGTAGAGGTGGATGGGGTGGAGTGGGTGTGTGTTTATAGAAAAATTTTAGAATTAGAAAAATATGGAAAACAATGATTATCAGTTTTCCAACTTCTTTGTAATTTTAGAAAACGGAAAATTTTCATTTTCCGTGAAAAATTTAGAAAAATAGACGAACTAAACGCGTTTTCAAAATTCTCATTTTTCTTGGAAATTTTTTCCGGAAAACGGCCCATTTTCCGCAACTAAACGCACCCTAAACCATTTGTTTTTTAAGTTTGAGGTGACAACTAGAAGATGGAATGCAATGTTTAGTTGGCTTGATGTTAATGTGGTTTCAGCTAGAGCTATGTTTGATGCTATTGATGAGTATCATGGTTCTGTGAAAAAAAATAAAAAATAAATAAATAAAATCATTGATGCTTTTGCATGTATTAAGATTAGAAAACATCAAATTGTTGATGTGATAAAGGATTTTTTTTTTCTTATGGTTTTGTAATCGAAATAATAAATGCTCTAGAAATTGGGTTTGTTGGTTACAAGTTACAACAACCTTTAGACATTTTGTAATTGGTTTTTTTGCCTTCTATAGCTTCTTGCTAGAATCTTTTTCTAATATATGGCTGTTTAAAAAAAAAAAAAAAAAGAATGGCAACTTCGGCTACATTGAGCCATTTGAAATTTTCACACTTGTCCGACAATTTTTATGACATGTTAAAAAATATGTTTTTCATAAGATACAACTATATGAAACTAGACTTTATTGGAAATAAGTGGTTTTTGCACAATTACAAAATATGTTTTTTTTTCATATGACACAACTATTTCATGCATGATTTTGAACAACTATTAACTATTGACTACGACATACAAAATTCTTTAGCTACTCAAAAGTTTAGCTCCAAACAAACAAAATCATCTTAAAACTTACCAAAAATCCTTACAAGAACAAGATCCATCCACAAAGTGATGAAACCGACTATTATCTCTAAGAATAATCTCTCTCCCTTCAACTTTAGACATCAACTTAATTGCAGAGTGACAATCAACACAAACTCTTAAATTCTTCTTCACAATAATCGGTTTCCCAATAGGCATCCTTATAAGTGCATACGCTATTGCAATCCTCTCACTATGATGATTCAAAATCTTCACCTTCATATCATAATCCAAATCAAATGGAACAGATTCAACATCAGGAACATATCCAACTTCAATTATCTTCCTCAAAAGATCATCAAGTTTCAAATCAATCTCCTTTTTATCCCCATGGCACAAATCTTCAACTCCAAAAACATGAACTCTGTTATCAACATCAACCCAACTACACCCCTTGAGTTTTTTCACATTTTCATCTTTCATCATCTTTCTAACACTTTTCACATCCTCCCATTGTTGTTCTTTTGCGTATATATTCGAAAGTAAAACATGGGCCCCACTGTTTAAAGGGTCGATAATCTTTAAACTTTTGGATGCAAGCTCTCCCCTTTCTTTATCACCATATTTTCTACAAGAAGCTAAAAAAGAACACCATGCGTAGGCGTTTGCCTCAAATGGCATACTTTTTATAAAAACTTCAGCTTCTTTAAGCTTCCCTGATCTTCCCAACAAGTCAATAACACAAGAGTAATGTTCTGATTTAGGTTTTACACCATAGATTGTTTCCATGGAGTTGAAGTAGCTTAATCCTTCTGTTGATAACCCTGAATGGCTACATGCGTTTAGAAGATTTATAAATGTGACTGAATTTGGTTTAATGTCATGCAATAACATCTTGTCAAATACATCTATAGCTTTGTGCCCTAATCCATGGTGAGCAAACACACCAATCAATGAATTCCATGTGTACTCATTTGGTTTAGAGATTTTGTCAAATGCTTGAAGTGAATGATCAAGCAAACCACATTTCCCATACATGTCAACAATGATGGAAGAAACAAAAGGGTCTTGATCAAGATTGTATTTTAACACTAGGGCATGAAGTTGGACCCCTTGTTCAAGTGTAGCATGATTAGCACAAGCTTTGATTAAGCTAGAAAAGGTGAATTCATTAGGTTCAACTCTTTGTCTTTTTAGCTCAATGAAAATAGTGAATGCCTTCTCGATTTGATCAGATTCAACATATCCATCAATCAAAGAAGTATAGGAAACGATATTTGTACATTTAGAGTTGATGTTGAGCAACTGTGAACCACTATCCATGTCTCCTAGTTTACAATACATGTCCATAAGTGCATTGCCCACAGAAATATGTTGTTCAAATCCCAATTTTGTAACAAAGGAATGAAGAGATCTTCCAATGTTATATGCTTTTAAAGGTCCACAAGCACAAAGTGTACTACAAAGAAGATGTTGATCGATTGTAACATCTTCAGTCAGCATCTTCTTAAAAGAAACTAGTGCTTCTTCGTTATAACCATTTTTTGCATACCCATTAATCATTGAGTTCCATGAAACTTCATCTTTAGAAGGCATCTCCTCAAAAACCATACAAGCCTCAATGATAGACCCACATTTTGAGTACATGTCTGCTAAATTACTACCCACAAAAAGCTCAAAACTAAACCCAACCTTAAGAGCAAGACAATGGATTTGTTTACCAATTTGGACAGATTTGAGAGACGAGCAAGCTTGAATCACACTGGAAAACGCAAATTGGTTTGGGCTTTCACCGGAGACGCACATTCCACAAAATGTGGTAATTGCTTTTGTGAACTCAGAATTCTGAGAAAACGCAGAGATCATAGCAGTCCAAGACACCAAGTTTCTTTGAGGCATTTCATCGAACAGCCTATGGGCGTACCCGAGTTGGCCGCATCTTGCATACATTGACATGAGATGATTGATAAGATATGTGGATGATGGGTACCCAGAGGTGATGAGCTGCGCATGAAGTAGCTTTCCATTAGATAACTGTTTGGATTGGGCGTAGGTTTGAATAATGTGCGCCAAGGTATTCGAGTGTTTTTGCAAGTGTTTGGTTAACATTCGAAATGTCATAACAAATTACGCCTCTCACTTCTTCCCAGATCGCTCCGTCGTCGCCCGCCTATCCTTCTCGTCGCTGTCTCCATAAGCTATCAGTCAAAACAAGATGTAGTGGGTGATAGAGTTGAATCAGTGAAGAAATAGGAGGGGAGTTGATGGATCGAGGGTTTAGAGGGTGTTTGGATAAATATATTTTTATATTTATCTTATTAAAACAATTTTTTTTTAAAATAATAATAATAATAATTTTCTTATTTATAAGAACTAAAAAACAATTATCATGCAAAGGATTTATGGCAGTTTCTAAAGGAAAATAAAAAAAAAAAAAAAGGCAATCAATGGTTGCAGGGAAAGAACAAAAACACAATCGTGTGTTTTGCATCGCTATTAAAAAAAATAAAAAAAAAATAAAATAAAAAAAAAAAAAAAAAGTAGCATGCGGCTTCCAGGGACGATGGCCAAAGGAGAAAAGGTTTATGGGTTTTATGTATAGTTTATTGAAGGGTAGTTAGGTAATTTTGAAATCATTAAAAATAAGCAATAAACCATTGCTATCATAGCTTATTAAAATTAGTTTATTTTGCTTTATTTCTACCACAATAAGCTGATTTTTTAAACATCTTATTAAAACACTTAAATTAGTTTATTGTGATGATAATAAGCAATAAGCTGATAAACAGTCATTTTTTTTCCAATCCAAACACCCCCTTAGTGTAGAAGATGTAGGGATGGAATCTAAATTGTGTGAGTGAGGGTAAGACGCAAGCGAAAGGTTGTCTCTCCGTGCGTGTTGGTGATGGTGGTGGTGGTTTGTAGGTACATCCGCTCTGGTGCGTGTGCGAATGGGTTGCACGTGACAGATCTTCTTCTCATTCATATACGTGAGGGGCTTAACCAATCATTTTATGGAGCATTCTTGTTTTTCTTAGAGGGAAACATATCGTATTTTTTTTTTTTCATACCACCTAAGTAGGGTTGTAAACAGATTATGAACTCGATGTTTGTCGAATTGTTTGACAGAAACTTTCTTCTTTAACGTGTTAAAGAAAAATGGTTGTTTTTTTGGTAAAAAAAAACAAAAGTTCATGTTTTTTAGTTAAATGAACGAACATGAGCAATGATCTTGTTCATTCATTTATGTTGGTAAATATTCATTTATGTTGTTCGTTTATATTTTTTTCATTTAAGTTTATTTATATTTATTTATGTTCAATTTATTATTATATTACTATATTATATGTTTGTTTAGGTTCATACGTGTTTAATTGTGTTTGTTTATCTTTGTTCGTTTAGTATGTTCGTGAACATAAATGTATGAATATGAACAATGTAATTTGTTAAACAAACGAACACGAACAATACAACTCGTTCATTTATTCATTCGTTTGCTCGACTTGTTTAAATGAACGAACATGAACAAGCTCTTATTCATATCATTTCGGTTAGTTTACAACAATATACCTAAACATAGCATGATGTTAGAGAGTGGTGGTTTCTTAGCATACCACATCATTTTTTTTTAAATCATTTACTATTTATACTTATTTTTTAACAGCCATTTTAGGGTTATGTGAAATTTGATTGGTTTAAGCTAGTCAAGGGGTCACCGTCATCTCTTTTCCTTCTCTCTCTTCACACTAACCATACATCATGAAAGTCTTGGTGTGCACCAGGGTGCGGTGTTTGGCGTGTTTAGCATGCAGGGCGAGTGAGCTTGACGCACCCACTCGATGCAGTCTTACAGTTAATCGATTTATATAGACACATTTCATAATTATATCATCTTAATAGTAAATTAATTAAAAAATTATTGATTTGAAAACAATTATTATTATAAAAACATAGTTTTTGTTCGTCCATTTTTTTTTTTGCTCAATTTCAAATTTTGATTTAGGTTATATAATCTAAACACTATTATGACTTATTTTAATTTAATTCTAAAAATAACATGTACTATAATTTTTTTAGTTTTCATTATTATTATTATTATTATTATTTTAAAATATGTTATTGTTTTCAAGGTAATTAAATATTTTCTCCGCTCCATATTAATAGTCAATGTTTCTTTTTGGTTTGTCTCAAAATAATAGTCTACTTATAAAACTAAATATCATTTTTACCAAAATATCCACCATTATTAGCTAAACTACCATGAAATTAAATTCAACTATCATGGAATTAAATGCAACAAAATGATATAATTGTCATTTCATTTAATAAAGTTAATGGTAATTAATGTTTTATTAATTTGTGTTTTTTCCGTATAATAACAATTTGTGGTCATTTTTTTTTTGTTTATTTGACATTTTGATGTAGACTTTACATTTAAAATTATATCATATTTTTGTAACTATCTAAAAAAAATAGTCTGGATATTTTTCTCAAGTTTATTTGACTTTTGATTTATGTTTTGCACTTAATATTATATTTAGATTACCAATTTAAGTATACTCGATCACTAACTATAAACTGTTAGTATTAAAAAGATAATATTATAGTTTGTCGAGACTTCGATCTCTTCCAAAAAAAAAAAAAAGATAATATTATACATCCAACTTAAATTAATAAATTAAATATATTGGGTTGAAAATTGAAAAGTTAATATTGAAATTAAAATAATAAATGAGTTTAAGTGTTAATTAAAAGAGAAATTGAAAAGTCTTAAAAGTTTCAAATAATTATTATTGAAGTCAAATGAGACTTGCTTTATAATATATTAGACGTGTGTCCATACGTTGTACATAAGTAAAAAACATTAACATATCATATAAGAATTATATATAATGTAGATATACATGATTAGTTGTAAATATGTTATCACAATACACATCATGTATCAATTTATAAAGTTTCATTATAAAAAATCAAACATTCTATCATAATCACCTATTTGCAATAATTATAATGTTATCAACAAGTAAATTTAACCAACATCAGTCACATATATGGAGTGTCTAATGTTAAAACATAAGAAAATATGTTTACATGAATTAACTCAACATCTAAAATAAAATTGAAAATATAGCTTACATTAAGTTCCTTCTTATTCTTATTGAGTTTTGAGTTTTGTCGGATGTTAAGAAAAATACCATTTAGGAATTTGTTAGGTACAACAACACACTTAATTACATTCCAACTATTTTATTTCATAATTGCACATTTCTATCATAAAAAATAGCAATATGGTTTAACTTTTATTTAAATTCCTAAATCAAACCCCAAAACTCTATTTTCATATAACCAACTACAATTTAACTACAATTTAGGTAAGTAACATAAAAACATGCTTTTGGCCTAATCTATATGCTTTCATGTCACTTTTTTGTGAAGTTGTGGGTTCTCGTCCTGAGACATATATAAAAGAGACATGTATAAAATTAAAGAGTAGTTTTGAAGTAAATTAAAATGTGTGCATTAAAATAAACTAACATAAATTATTGATTACATGAATAAATTAAATCATAATCATTTTTTTCTCTAATGACACTATAGTATGAATTTTCATGGATTTAATCAACAATAAGTTCATTCAAAAGATAAAAGTTCTATCTATTTATCTCTTTCATCCCATGAGCATATAAATTCTCACAAAAAGAAAAATCTTCAAAAGAAGTAGGCAAATAATTGAAGTAACGCACAAAATCTTGCAGGAAGTCGGAAAAAAAAAATATGAACGCATTTTCAAGTTTTCTTTTCCTTCATGTCATTCCTTAGGCTCTAGCAACTTGATTTATCTCAATGAACTATATTCTCGATATACCCAGTCAAATAACATAACCACTAATTAATTACACTAAGTTAAAAAAAATGAGTGATTAGAAAGAAAACAATTAATTTAAACCCACACACAAAGCGTTCAATGGAAATACAACTTATACTATGAATATACATCACGATTAATTCAAACTCACACAAATAATTTGTTCTATGTTCATGAAAAGCATAAACATAATGATCAATGTAGACAAACACAATAGTATTAGTAACATCGAGAACAATTTAGTGTAGTTCAATCTGATGCAAACACAAAAATAAGGGGAAGAACAATTTATTGTTGTTATCATGTACAAATTACAAAATAAGGTTAATCTGTATAGTTTTAATTTGTTGAATGAATATACAAACCAATGGAGTTGTCCCCTTTCTCCCATTCAACTATCAATAACCCTCTATGTCATGAAAGATTCACCACACCCACATTGTCCCTTTGAGTTAGGGTTGATAAATACAAACTCTGACCTGTTTCATAACAATTATAAATAAATAAGAGATAATCAACAGCTTAGTGGTGTATCTAAGATCTTTGAATTTGTAGTCAAAAGATACTCTACAGGGTATTTTCTTAATTTTCTGAAGTTGACTCAATTAATTATTTACTTTATAGAATGAGAGAAGTGAGGATTTAAAGGAATGTTATCTATTTTGAAAATTTGTTGTTATAATCAGAAATGGAAGGGTAGATATAACCAATGTAAATATTGAAGATTGAGACACTAATGATGATGTTGAAACGATATTCTAAGTAGAAATAATTTATCTGGTAATGAAGGTATGATTGTTCGTACCTCAACTTGTCATCTACAAAGTCCATTTTTGTTCCGATTACATGCATCAGAGCTTTTGGATCAATCACAATCTTCACACCTTTGTCTTCAACCAGTTCATCGAACTTTCCTTTTTCATCTACATAGAAAACCAACAATTTACAGGAGTTAGTTTGATAACCAACAATCTAACCACACGTTCATCATCTAGCACTTAAAGATACACCCTCTGATTCTGATTATGATTTTTCTGATCTTTTACGGACAAAATAATATGTGATTTGGGGAGAATTAGGTTTAACAATTCACATAAATCTGGAGTCGAACGCAAGCACTTGAAAGTACGAATGAATACAAATTGATAAGACGCAACTAGGGTTTTTGCGAAAAGCAATCGAGTACGATTAAACAAAATGAAATACAAAAAGTGCCCAATTCTGTAGAGACTAGAGAATCAAAAATTAACATAGATAACATATTCAAATATATGTCGATTGCAAACCTGCGTAATTGAGGGTGTAGGATAAGCCATTGCAGCCACGAGCCTTGACGCCGAGCTTGAGAAAGGCGCGTTGGCGATTGTGAAGGAGTTGTCGTATTCTGTCCGCAGCCGCTTCCGTTAGCGTGAGGGCTTGCCGGCGGGCTGCTGAACCCACCTTCGCCGCCGCCTTCGCCAGTACCGGAGACGCCATTCAACGGATTGCGTTTCGTGGTTGGGGGAAATTGTGATCTTGAAATGGAGCTTGAATCGAACAGAAATGGAATTTTCTGTTGTTAGGGTATCTACTTTCGACATTTTTTGACCGCCACGTTGGTAATTCGTCATCAAGATTAGAAAATCCAAAATCAATGGGAAATCACTTAACACAATTTTTTACTACAAATAACAATTTATATTTAATATACAGTACATCATTTTTAACAATAAATTATTATATATGAAAAAAAAATTATAGTGAACAAATCACCTTCCAAAATGAATTAGGCAACTAGCTGTTTTTACTCAAAATATTACCCTTTTTCTTAAAAAAAAAATCAAAATTTTATCCCCTTTCCCAACCTATATAAATACCACTTAATATCATATTTTATACCACACTTCCATCTTTAATTTTTCACTCAAAAAGTCTTTATTATGAAAAACTAGTTTCTCCTTCCAACTCAAAAACTCCAAAAAATAGCAAAAAGACACCAAAAACATAAACTCAATCTTACATTTCATCACTTATCTTCATCCAAAATCTACCTCCTGATTTCCACTATCTCGGTGCATACTACTCTTATCCTATCCAAACTCAACCATAATTTCAAACTCAATCACAATCCCAACCTCAGATGCAATTTCAATCTCAAGTCCAACCGCAACTAGAAAATGATTTTAATCCATTTGACAATCTTCCCGACTCGTCATTCAAATTCCAATCTCAATGCCAAACCCAATTTCAAACTCACTCATAACCCCAAAAACGTACCGAAACGCAAGGACTAAAGTTGGCTTAAAACAATGTGATACAACATTCTTGAAGCAAAAACACAAATTATTCTATCACATTGGACGGTTTGACCTTTCAATCTCTCTAAAGTTGTTGTACATCATAAATATCACTTCAATATTTTACAAGGATGCTACAATAATAAATACAACCAACAAAATTTATATACGAACAAACATTTGGAAACATATACATCATTACAAAAGCAAACATATAACAACCCAAAAACCATGAGAAATTTTTTCACTTTTAATTAAGGTTTACAATCATAAGTTTGATTCCAAAATCCATTACACAATCATCATCATGTAAAATCATCAGAGTAACAATAACAGTAAATGCGGAAAATGGTGAGGAGTGAATGTTGCGTCATCAAGCCGGGTCATTCCCCTTAGTACCGGAAGTACTTGAAACCACAATGCAAACTGTAAGCAAAAACTTATTGAGTTTTCCCAAAAATACCATATACTAAACATATAACTAGGCTAAGTCCTGGGGTATATTCCAACCCAAAAACAAGTATGGGTCTCGCCCTGGGGTATATTTCAACCTGATCATATCATATTAGGCCCGCCCTAAGGTATATTTCAACCCGAACATATCATAATGGGCCCCACCCTGGGGTATATTTCAACCTATCATGCCGTATTGGGCCCCGCCCTAGGGTATATTTCAACCCGATCATGCAAATACAACATATATATCATACAACAACTAGCATGCTACATAATCGGATAGTAGGTCGGCCTTGGTGCCTTCGACCCATTGACACAGGAAGGAGACTTACCTCGTTCTGCTGATAAATACAAACTGCTCGGCTACTGATCCGGGAAATCCCTCACTAAACATAGACAAATTACCCTAATTAGAAATGGGTTACGTGATGGGTTTTAAACATAGCAAACAATCATATGTGTGCATGCAACCCTAATTGTTGGATCTATGTTTTCTCTATTAGACATACAAACATTGAACACAAAAATTAGAAACCCTATGAGGCATGTACAATTTTCGAAAATTAAAAAACATAAAACTAGGGTTTAGATACATATCTTTATTGTTATGTAGTAATAACAATAAATTCCTTGAATATCTTGACTTTGAGAACAAGTGCCAAAAATGTAACACCTCTAATGGCTCACAAACATACTGTAACGCTCGGTCCAGGTAATATTTTTTTTCTTCAAGTTTTAGGGTTTTGGACCAGAACTCGACGAGTTGGGGAGCTCTAACTCGTCGTGTAGAGATTTTTCTGGACGCAGGTTAAGGACCCTACTCGACGAGTTGGAAGCCCTAACTCGACAAGTAGGCGCTAGAAAGGAAAACTATAACAACGTGAATTTTCAAAACAATTTTTCATTTTTCAAATAACATAAATCTTATTCAATATTCTCAAATCTCAAATTTAACAAATGCCATCATGATAAAACATATCACAAGATCATAAAATAAATCTTCTGTCAGTGTGTACGGATCATGTCGGCGCCTTCCTGTGATCATCGCTAGTACCTGAAACACATAACATATAACATTGTAAGCATAAATGCTTAGTGAGTTCCCCAAAATACCACATACAACACATACTCCACTCAAGGCCATAACTCTATGGGATCTTCCGATCCATGTGTCTCAGGGGACTTCCGTCTCAACTCTGGTAGAACTTCCGGCCCTACCCGTACGACCTTCCGGTCCTCATCATCTTGACCTTCCGGGCCATACACTGTTGGCCTTCCGGTCCATATCATGGTACTCATAACATAGCGTAACACACACTACTAGAGAAACAGCCTTTTACGACGCTCATTGCGCGTCGTAAAAGGCTCAGACGACGCGCAAATGCGCGTCAAGAAAGGCCCTGTCATAAAGAGACACGACGCGCTTATGCGCGTCGTCTATAGACAACACGCATTTACGACGCTCATTTACGACGCACAATGCGTATCAAGGAAGGCCCTATCATAAAGGAAGACGACACGCATTCGCGTGTCGTAACCTTACGACGCGCGTGTTAATGACACGCAATGTGTATCAAGAAAGTCCCTGTCAAGAAAGGCCATGTCATAAATGAAGATGACACACATTTTTGTGTATCATAATTTTAAATATTTAAAAAAATATTATTTATAGATTTACTAATTTTCAAATTAAATTTCTATTTAATGTCTCATAATAGAAAAATAAAATATCATATACAAAAAATACAATGCATTGCATAAAATTTAATGTCATACAAATAATCGTTCCATGAAAAGATAAACAAATCAATAGTTGTAACAAAAGTTTACAAACTAATTAGATACAAGAAATATAAAAAAATATACCCTCAAATCCTTTTCAAAGTCTAATCTCCATGTCAGCTCTTCAACTCACTTCTCTAGTTTGTCCTTGGGTTCTCTAAGGGCTCCAACATCTCTTGCAGCCTGTGACAACATATATTATAATAGCATCTAGTAGGAAAAAAAAAACAAACCTTTCACCAGGAATTGGACATTCTGGAATTAGAGCATCCTTTCCGATGTTTATGGTAATATCACTTGGACGGATTCATTTTTTCAGCTTTCCCATCTATTAAATTTGTAATTATATAAATTTCTTTTCTAATGAATAAGTTTAAAAAATTCATTCAATGAAGGGGTAAAGTTGTCATTCAAACCTTATTATGCTTGTTTTGGCAAACCAAAGAGACTAATTGCATAATTTGTCAGTAACAATATTGAAAGATTCTACTATATTAAGTGTCATGTCAAGTGAGAGGTTCCCAAATTTAGGCAACCCAACAAATAATGTCTACAAAACTGATTACCATTTTTTTTCGTTTTTAAAACTATTTCTAATTTGTCTTGTTAGTTACTTGGTTATGCAAGATCACCAGAAAAAAGATAGGTTAAGCATGATCATCTTTCATAACTATTCGACCAATTTGGGACCAATTATGCATGTATGAAGAAAGCTGTGTAATTAATATGCATGACATAATAAAACAAGTTGTAGTACATCTGGAATGCATTAGACATATATTAAAACCAATGTCAATTGAACAATAAAAGCAATTTTTTTGTACAATTCAAAAAGGTGGGACAAAGATTAACTCTTGATCTCTTTTTTGTGAAAAAGACATAAATGCCCTCATCACCATTATTGAAAATATTCCCCACAAAAGTTGTACAATGGTGTAGGGTAATTATACATAACTATTTAAGATAGGATTTGTAACCAAAAATCAACTTGGAAGTTTTTCTAGACGGGGACCCTAACTTTTTTAGTTTTTCTAGAGGAGGACCCTAACTTTTTATGTTTTAAATGTGTTACCATTGTTTATCTTAAATTGTTAGTTTTAATTTCTTTAATCAACAAAAATTCTTAGGATATGATATGAGATAACCATGCATATACAAAGAGTAGGGGGTATTTTGGGTATTCTACAATGGATAATGTATGTGTGTGTGGCGATGTTAGAAAGATGTATCATGTATATATATTATGCATAGATTCAGCAAGGGTTGTTTCGTCATTGTCATGTGGGGTGTTTACCTGTTTTGGACACATATAATGGTAACATGGAGTGCCATGTGCATACAAGTTGCACAACAAGATATATGCCAGAATATGTGTAATTAATATTACCTGAACCAAAGCTTCCTTTGGTGTCTTAGCACTCGGATCAGATAAAAGAGAAGAAAGTCAAAGGGCATGAACAGGAAAATTTTCCAGTTCATGTATAATAGAAGGTCCCAGATGATCCTATCAAACAAAAAAAAGGATCATTCCACCATTTAAATAATAACAAAAAATAAAAATATCAAAACCGAAGAAAAAAATTACCAGCCCAACACCCTCAATCCCACACAACAGAAGCCCGGGTCTGTACACAAGAGGAAGGGCAAAACCGGAAACAACCATAGAAAATTTACTCGATTTAGATGAAATTTCAAGAACTGGAAAGATATCAGATATAACCCTCATTGCATTCTGTAAATGACTTTGCAGACATGGCGATACAACTAGCGAAAAAGGTCTAGAATGTACAACCGAACCTCTATGTGCAGCACGTGTAATTGCTGACATGGCTTCCATAAAATGCTTCTTTTCAACTTCAACAGATTCAACATCTATCAAAAACTTATCATCACTGGTGTAAACCTGAGGGTATTTTTCACAAAAAGCATGTATAGCAGCTTCAGTACAAAGAGCTTTCAAATCAGCCCCACAATACCCCACACAACTTGCAACAAGCTCCAATTTCAACTCTTTTACAGGTGGTTGCTTCCATTTTCTTGTAAGAATATCTAGAATTTCAACACATGCATCCAAACCAGGTAATTGGAAAGTAAAATCACGATCATATCTACCGGGTCTTCTCAATGCTCCATCAATCGCATGGATCCGGTTTGTTGCCCCGACTAAAACCACTTGTCCCCTTGAATCCAAACCATCCATTAATGCAAGAAGATTTGAGACAATAGAGTTATGAATCTGTTCTTGTTTGCTTCATCTCACAGGGGCAAGTCCGTCAATTTCATCAAAGAATATAATCGATTTCCGTTCCTAATATCAAGCAACCTGCAGTGACCAGAACTCAATTCAGTTGCAATCCAAGATGTTCCACTAGATTGCATCTTTGAAGAACCACAACAACATATGGAAGAGATTAAATAAGGAAAACATGATTCAACGGAATTGCTCCTCCATAAATGAAGCGTTTGACTTTGTTCAACATCAATGAATCTGAATATGTTGTAAAAGAAAAAAAAAAGTTTAATTTAATTTCCTTGAAATGCTGTCAGAAGAAAGTGATTTAATTATTTACCTGAGAGAAGCGTTTCCAGTGCCTGCCACAAACCTATTTAGAGTTTGTAGGTGATACATACAAGTATATAAACTCCCATCATAACTAGTGCATAAGTTGTTGATAAACCACTTGGGTCACCTCCTATTATGCATATTCTTGTATTCAGAGGCATACATGGATGCGGATTTGAGAATTGATCTGCTACTAATTGTTACAGGTCCATCTTTTACAATGTTTTCGTTTTCCAATGCCACTACCTATTGATGTAAAAGTGTAAGATGATTCTTGGTGTTGTGTTCATCGGATTGGCCTGGGAACAAATGCAACAAACCATTGGTTAAAAAGACACAAGAGTACCTTTAGAGGGAGCGCTGATAAAAGAAACATGTTGTTCCACTCCATCTTGGTCTAAAAGGGCGGCTATATTCAATAACAGTTGTAATCCTTCCAGTGGTTAGATTACTGTTATTGGGTTGATTTCCGTGAACAAGAGTTCCAGGGGTTTTTGAATTCTGAAACATAAACACACATAAATAAAAATCACTGCGAGAACACATGAGAAACCATCGGAAAGAATGATAAACAGCAACATAGAAGCAAAATTAAAATATCACTATCGAAGACCTAAAAGTCCTTCAGCCCCATCATTCGATATTGAAAAACTCAATATCGATTTTAAAAATTGAAATTGATTTTTAACCATGAATTCCGACATAAATATTCAACAACCCATGAACGTCGAAATGGAATTAAAATGAAGTCAAATATGAGATTTAAAAAAGCAAGTTCACTGTGAAATATTCGAACTCCAATTTTGACTTTGTGACATTTGACTTTCACAACTTCAACTTTCTGATTGATTTTCAATTTACATCAAACTTTGATATTAGCTTCTTCAATAAGCAACAAATCGACATCTTTAATCTTCTGTTTCAGATTAATATCCAATTCAGTCAAAAACATCATCATCTTTAACCTCGTATGTTCTTCATTTTCCAAATTATAAACATCATCTCGCATTCTTAAAAACGAACAAATAGATGTTAATGTTCAAAGTCAAAAAAAATTTAGAATTAAAGAATTATATAATTAGAAAAGTAAAGATCTTACGTGAATTCTTTAGAGGGAAGCAACAGGAGATCACTTTTCAGGTAGCGATCTCCTCCATAGGTATGTGATGGTGCGAGTTTGCTGTGGGAGAAAAGAGGAGAGTATATTAGGGTTTTTTTGGGGGTATATGAGTTAGGGAGAGAAGAACGGTGGAAAGAAGGTAATAACATGGCGGGACTTTCAAACTTTTCGGAATTTCGTTTCCCCCAAAAGAAGTGACCCTGCGTTTCATTTAAAAAATATAAAGGGACATATTTAGAGGACGCGCATTTTATGTTATGTGCCCTCCGTGTTTTTTTTTATTTTCAATGTAGCACTTATTTTTGGACGCGCAAGAATGCTTGCTTTAAATCCTTCTAATTTTTGGAGATCCAACATTATTTTTAGGGCACACACTATTGCGTATCATATAACAGCGCGTGTCATGGTTCGCGCATCGTAAAAGCCTGTTTTTCTTGTAGTGACATACATATCACATAGCAACACATATCACATACTTCGCATAGCATATAAGACCTTCCAGTCACACATAGTTACCACTCTAGGTAAAGTATAGTGAGAATACTCACCTCTCATGATGTCTAGTAAACCTTCTGGCTTGATAACCTCGATCGAGCCTCCGCCTAACACATAAGGCAAACATCTCTAATTAATACTTTCTCTTGACCTCATCTCTAAAGAATGGGTAGAAGACCTTTCTACCCCTCCCTGAACTCTCTTGAATCAGTATGACCAAAACCCTAAGGTCAACTGAAGTCAACTCAAGTCAATGGTCAAACTTTGACCAGACTCGTCGAGTGCAGTCAAGTGACTCGGCAAGTCCATGCTTGTCCTATGAATCCTCCTAAGGTCTCACCCGACTCGTCGAGTTAACCTTTCACTCGACAGGTTACTACAGGTCACGAATCACGGGGTAACCCGAATCGACTCGTCGAGTCCTCTTTTGGACTCGGCGAGCTTCCTCCATGTCCATACTCAAATGACCTTCTGAGGTTAGATCTATTTCCCCAACATATAGATCTGACCTTCTAACACCCAATAATCACGTAAAGGTCCAAACTTTATACACATGCAACACACATATAGCTCTATATGGTGAAATAGCTCTAAAAATGGCATCCTAGATTCATAACTCCAATGGAACTACATAAAGCTGGAAGATTGGGACTCTATGGACCTCTTAAGGTCCAAATCTAATACTTATTCCACATTGGGACCTCAAATGCATCATATACTATCAAAGAAAGGGTAAAGAAAACCCTACATTCAAGGATTATTTACAAAAAAGAAGAAAAGGGTCGAATTACTACCTCATAATGGAGATCCCTGCTTGAATGTCTTAGAATGACATCCTCCTTTGGTCCTTCTAGCTGAATCCCTCCTCGTCCTTTGCAAAGTCACACCAAAATACTTGATTTCATCATAAAAACTCTCTCTTGGCTCCAATGGCGATTTAGGGTTTCTCACAGGAGATATGATGCGCACCCAAGGTCATAAGTTCCTTTAAATAGGATCAAATCCCCATAACTTAGGGTTTTCTCTGCCCAGCACCTACTCGGCGAGTCCATACTTGGACTCGTCGAGTCCCCTCATTAAACACATGCTATCAACTCGACGTGACTCGGCGAGTCAGACTCTAGAATCGTCGAGTCCCTCCTAAATCCTCAAAATTTCAACACAAACTAACATACCTAAAATCCCATATGTTACAATTCCCCCCCCCCCACTTAATTCGATTTCGCCTCGAAATCGCTCCTCAAACCATATAGAAAGAAACCAAACATCCAAAAATCACCCCTGAAATAATCTCACACCAAAACGACGTCTTTCTCTATGGATACCTGGACCCGACCAGGAACTCCTAAATTTGGAACAAACCAGTCCCTCTGCTGCTATGATATCCCTTCCGACTTTCCAACTATAAATCCAACAATCGGGCACCGATCACCCATCCCATACGTACCAAACAATCCCAAATATCCTTCTATAGTCGAACGGGGCACATTACACCAAAGAATCATCTCCTTCCCCGAAATCAAACCCCACCGGTTCAAAGAAATTTCAACACCCCGCCTTCAGATATAAGAAATAATCATGCTCCCACAAAATGTCGTATGACATCTGTAATAATAAAACCCCAGCTTACTCTCTATGATCCCTTCTCCACCCTGGGTATTAGGTCATCTCTCAACCAACCATTAACTTCCAAGGGTCACTCATAACATGTTCCCAGTGTCTCGCTGACTTCCTTCTCACATCGACTATCTCGGCTGAGTGACACACAAGTCACAAGTTCTCTTTACCCCAATGAATACCATACTCCCATCGGAAATCGCCTCACCCTCAACCTTAGCCGAATTAATACTCCTTTGACTCATGCACCTACTGGTATTTCCCGTACTAACGAACTAACCCCACCAGGTCTAAGATATCGGGTGACAACAATACCCCTCAACCAATAATCCATCTCATAATCCAAAATATCCTCTTGCCTACCCAAAACACTACCAAAGCCAAGCTAAACCTCAAGAGTTTGGTCCGACCCAAAATTGGAACTAACTCGTCATGGTCAAAGTCATTGTGGGTTGACCAATTCATCAAGTCAACTCTTCAATTCTTCGAGTTCTATAACTCTTAAATCCTGGAATCACGACCTAACTCGCCGAGTCGTCCTCCAACTCGTCGAGTCCTATCGAGCTGCTCATAGTCACGACTTGGTGAATCAGCTCGTCGAGTCCCTCTACAGACTCGTCGATTTCCACCATAAACTGAAGTTGGACAACACGACCCGACTCGTTAAGTTCCTTCATGGACTCGATGAGTCCTTCTATCTGAATTGGCCATTTTAACAGATTTAGCCCTTACTTTGTAAATTTCAGGTCCATAACTTGTCTATTCACTGAAATGATATTTCCAAGGGTAAAGTTTCCAACTTTACCTATTAATAGCTCTTCTTGAAGGGTTTAGACATGTAACATACACGTTTTGAAATCGTGTTTTGTAATGAATAATATTACGAAATATTATGTGAATTTGAATATTGAGTTCTAACATGTAACACCCGTTTATTTATTAGTTAAATAAATAAATTAATGAACGAATGGTAGCCTAAAAGAAATAGTTATATATGCGGGGTGTTGGGTTCGAGGAGTTAATTGCCACATTTTTAGAAGTCGGGGGTTAAAGTCTGAAGTTTCAGATTAGATTCGTAAATATCTATGAAGATAGGGACTAAAAATGTTAACATGGCTGAAGTTTGAGCATTGGACCTTAAATGAAAAGAAATTGGCAAACAAGATGTGCTTTTGTAAATTCTGGATTGGTTTTGTAAAGAAAAGGGAAAGGAGGGACTAAAGGTGGTATTATGGAAAGTAGCTAAGGGGACTGGGTATATAAACCCATCACCCATTCTAGCATCCTAACCCTAGTGGCCTTTATCAGCCGCCACCCATACAAGTGACCACCCTCAGCCGCCACCTTACCCTCCTTCTTCATCTCCGATCCGGTGCCACCATCATCTACTTCGTTCGTTCTTTTGGCCGCCCAACATCATCAGGTAGTCCTCATCACCGTCAACATCGGAGACCGACTAGGGGTGGAAGAGAGCATCCTGATGCTGCTGCTTCATCGAAGTTTCATTGCTATCGGCGACACCGTGAATGAAAGGGACCACCAAGACCGGGTTTTTGCGCTGTAACGATGAAGTGTGAGCTGCGAAGTCAATGCTCAGTCACGAGAAATGGAGGTTCGAGATAGCGTGGTCGTTGTTGCTGTTCGGATGTTGGACGACCTTCTCTCTACCGTATTCTTCTTTCCCTTCTCCATTTATGTCCGATGCTGCAGCG